AAGGAAGGAAGGAAGGAAGGAAGGAAGGAAGGAAGGAAGGAAGGAAGGAAGGAAGGACAGAAGGAAGGACGGAAGGAAGGACGGAAGGAAGGAAGGGAGCAAGAGGACACAACATCAAGGAGGACATATAGTTTTGTGTGGTGTGCATGTTCTGTGCCCTCATATCCCCTGCCCACTCTGTGCCCGGGCCCAAACAGCTTCCATGGAAATGTGGCTCTGAACACAACACACCCTTTTTAACTCTTGTCATTTTGAAAGGAATACAATCCACACATTTTTATCCTTCTGTTTTGTTTTGTTTTTTATTACCAGCTGACGGAGTAAACAATTCAGGCAACTCTGCTGATCCGTTTTGTTTTCTTTTCTTGGCAAGAGAATCTCCTCCTTGCCAGCTTGCCAACACTGGGCAGTCTTTGGCTGCGCCCACCATGCAGGAAGCCCCCGTGACCCTGTCATCATCATCTCCCAGAAACATCCCGATCTGCTGAAGCACTCCTTCCTCGTGTGCTCAGACAGCGGGACGTCCTGTTCTCCCTGGTTTTCCGAACGACAATCCGTGGGTTTGCAGGTCCGAGGAACGGATTGCGTGCCAGGGTAGAGACAACTTGAGGTAGAGTGATATTGTCAAGGGAGGATCCATGATGCGCCGAGGCCACCGTGTCTAACTTGGGCCTCTTTCGAGCAAAAAAATCTTCGGAATGCTCCATTAAGCAGGTGGCTCTCCAGAACAACAAGCGCCCGGCTTGCCACCAGGGTCAGCCGAGATAAAGAAAGAGCTAAAACCGCCCCAGAATGTGGAAGAACGAGAAACTCGGCCCGCTGAACAACATGCTTGGAAGAACAGCCGCAAGAGCAAACAAGGAAAGGTAAACAGGCGACTCAAGAGACGATGATGGTGATACCAGAAGTAGGGAGGAGGGAGTCCCAGGAAGACGGCCTGCTCAGTCCTCTGGAGAGACCACACTGAGGACCAGAAGCATGTTTTCTATCCCAACCCAAAGAGGCTGCAGGGGGCTGAATGGGGATTTTCCAGTTCATTTTTCTCTTTCCCCTGGTGCCACCTCTATAGGTTTAAGAAGGAGGAAAGTAAAGGAGCGGGTAGGTGGTTGTGAGGGAGGGCCAGCTGCCATCCAGTCAGCATCAACAAGGAATCATCCTGCACCCCACCACCACTGTGCCGCCATCCACATCCTGTGTCACAAAGGCAGGTGGCCCCTTGGTTAGCCCACTGAAATATCACAAGCCGACGCTAGCTTTGGGCCTGCCTGGGGTTCATCTCTGGGGCCGGGGCAAAAAATAAAATTAAAATAAATGGGGGGAGACCCTGTCATCCTGGCGGGCGTTCTGTGCCGGGCCTCAAAACGGGGGCTGCAGAGTCACACCGGCCAGCCCACAGTTTTCCGACAGAGACGTCAAAGTTGAAAGCCGACTCCCCAAAAGTCTTTGGCATCACCGAAAACAACCTCGAGGATGTTGTGGAGGGGGGGGGCTGTAGCCCGTGCCAGCCAGGAGATGTTGGCAACCCTGTTGCTCCTGGGGGGAAGCCGAAACTTTCCGAGCTTTCCAGCGGGCACTCGGGTACCGGGGATGAGTGCGGGCGGGCAGGAGGGCGGGCGAGTTAGGAGATGACGCAAGGGCACCGCCTGCAGCAAGAGCAGGCCTTGGCGCAGCAGGGGCAGCAGTCGCAACAGCCGCAGCAGCAGCTTCCGTGGCTTCCGCCGGCCCCCGGGGCCGCCGTGGCTTCGTGGCTCTTCCAGTGGAACGGCTCCGGGGACTCCCCGCGGGGCATCTTCAGGCTGGCGTAGGGGTTATACGGCCGAGCCCACGACTCCTGGGTGGGGACTTTCTGCTGCCCGTCCCATGGCACGTAAGCGGCCGGCGCCCGTGGCGCCGTGGCCTCCTGTTCCTTCTCTCGGCCCGCCGAGTACGTGGGCAGGCTGCTGGGGTTGTAAAGGACGGTGTCGGAGGTCAAGTCTTCGCCCAGGTAGTACTTCAGGAAGCCGTCTTTGAGCTGGGCCCGGGGGATGGTCACGCTGGCGTAGGGGTTCTCCACGGTGACCCCGCGGTCCATGGCTCCTCCAAGGGAGGCCCCCCGCCCACTCCTTCGTGGCTCTCGGCTCAGCCCTGGGGAGGGGGGGATGTGAAGGAACTGCCAAGCCCTCCTGGACTGGCTGGCCGGCCAGCCAGCAGATCCTCCTCTGGCCACGTCACTTCAACAGCAGGCGGTCACCCTGGAAGAAAAGAAAGGGTTTAAAGGCCACCATTTTTTGGAGGAGGTGTTAAGAAATGATTTTACTCAGAGGTAGGATGAAGCTCTTCTCTTGATTTTTTTCAGAGCCCCCCCCAAAAAAAAAACACCCTCCACGAGATTCACACCATCTCTGGGAGAAGGGCCGGTGCCCTCATCCCATCGCTCTATGCAAGGGGGGGGGTCGCAAGAACTGGAGAACGCCCAGCTCGGAGCCCCCACCTTTAACCACCAAATCCGCTCCTTCCCACGTGTCCCGCTCACCTTTGGTGAGTTAGCCCCGGTCTTTCTCTCCGTGGCACAGTCCCGCCAAGAGCTGAAGAGCCCAGACCGAGACTGGGCAGAGTTTGACAGCATCCTCTCCTTCCACTCCCTCTGATGTGACCGGAGCGGAGGTGGAAGGAGTTCAGCCAGGAAGGTGGGACTGATGCCCTTTGACAGCAGCCCCCCAGGTGGGGGGGGAAATATGACCCACTACCCAATCCTTCCTTGTTCCTGCCCTCTGGGAAAGCAGGAGAGCCTGGCATCCCCCACCCGATCTTTTTCTCCCCCAGCCCTTAATATGGGCAACTCCCTCCCTCCCTCCCTGGGCACCAGAAGAGCTGAGTCAAAATCAAAGGGGGTCTAGCATCAAGTGGGGGGGGAGCGCAGTGCTGTGGGGTGGGGGGAGAGAACAGAAAGGAGATCAGCTCTTCCCCTGCCTTCCTGCCTGGGCAAAAGCTTAGAGCAGCCGGGAGTTCAACCGGGAAAGCTCCCCCCCCCCCCGACCCCCGGCTGGGGGTTGGGTTGGCCGGGGGGGGCACCTCCGGCCGCGCCCTCCGGGCCTCACCTGGGCGGCCTTTCCCGCCGGAGCCCCTCCTTCCTCCTGGCCGGGAGGAGGTCACCGCCGGTCCCCTTCCCTTCCCGGAACCGCCGCCTCGCTTCCCCTGTGGGATCTCTGCCTGCTCGGCCAGCCATCGAGGCTCGGGTGGCCAAGGGGGCGCCCTGGGCGGCTGGCGCGGTGGGTTTGGGGTGGCCGGGATCGCCCCCCCTCCGCCTTGCCCCTTACCTGGCTGGCGCCCCTCACCTCGGGCGGGGCGGCAGAGGGTGCCTAGGGGATTCTGGGGCTTGGGATCCCCCAAGGATCGCCCTCCCCATCCGCCTTGCCCCTTACCTGGCTGGCGCCCCTCACCTTGGGTGGGGCGGCAGAGGATGCCTAGGGGATTCTGGGTCTTGTGATCCCCCAAAGGTCCGCTCTGTGTGTGTGTGTGTGTTGGACGTGGACGTGGCCGTGGACTTTGCCCTGCCGCAGGGGCGGCGGCCATCCAAGAGGAAGAGCCAAGGTGAGGCTTCAAGGATGTGTGTGTGTGTGTGTGTGTGTGTGTTGGACGTGGACGTGGCCGTGGACTTTGCCCTGGCGGAGAGAGCAGCAAGGGCGGCGGCTATCCAAGAGGAAAAAAAAGGTTCCTGGAAGAGCCAAGGTGAGGCTTCAAGGAACTACCTGCCGGCTGCTTTCGCAGAAGGAAGAGACCCAGCCATTCAGCGGATGAAATCTTTACCTGTTGACTGTCTGCCTGTCCGTCCCTCTGACTTCCCTTCCCTATAATCTTTTTTTTAAAGCAGCCCCCCAATCCTTTACTGATCCTTTGCACTTTTGGAAAAAAAAACTCCCAGTTGCTTAAGACAGTCTGTCTCCTCCTCCCGCCCACCCACCCCATCTTTGTGGTCCCCACAACAGCCTTGCGAGGTTGGTTAGGCTAAGAGATGATGATTTGAGCTCTCCTTTCCAGCACCTCCTCCGTTGATCGCTGTATTCACTTATATATTTCCTTGTGTCACGTATGTGCATGGATGTATATTTGTCACGAGGATACACACAGAGAGAAAGATGTGTGTGTGTCACAAGGAAATGCACACCCACCCACCCACCATTTTACCTCTAAGGAGTGCAAAGCATCGCCTACCCCATTTTTACTCTGCTCAAGAAGGTGGGGCACACCAGTGCCCAGATTGGGAGGGAGGGAGGTGTGAAATCAGGGGTGGAGGGACTGCATTTTCAGCCTCTCTTTCTCAAGAGGCAGAAAGAGAAGAACCACAAGCCAGAGGTTGGGAGTTCGAATTCCCAGAATGGAGGCTGGACTAGATGATCTTCAGGGCCCCTTCCAGCTCTGCCATTCCAAGGATTACGGAAAAGCTTGCCTGGCATTTACTGGGTGACCTCTGGACTGGGTCTAAGTAAGGCATCTCTCTGTAATCTTGGAACGGCAGAGCTGGAAGGGGGTCCTGAAGGGCATCTAGTCCAGCCTCTGTTCTGGGAATCGAACTCCCAACCTCTGGCTTGTGGATCTCCACAACGCGGCAACAGAGGAGAGGCTCGATGTGGGCGAAGCCCTGTGAGAAAGGGGCAAAAGGACTTCGGATCTCGCCGACCAGCGATCCGTGGGCGTTGGTGTCACCTACCACACACCTGAGTGTGATTTTTGTGTGATTTTTAAAAAATAAAATATGGATTGTTATGCATTACTGCTTTGATCAGATTTTTAGTACTACCTCTGTTTTCCATTTTTGCATGTTCCATTTCCCAGAGTGGCTTTTTTAAAAAAAGAAATCTGTATACTTATTGTTCTTAGCTCTAATACTATCTTCTAATGATGTAAGGTGCCTCTTTACCCATTGTTATCTAAAGCCAAGAACAATGAGTAAAGAGGCATCTGACATCATTAGAAGACGGTATTAGAGGTAGGAACAATAACTATACAGATTTTTTCAAAATGCCACTCTGTGAAATGATGTTAACCTCCGTTGTATATTCAATCTCAACTTCAAATATTGTCTTGCAGTGTTGTAAGCCGTCTTGGGCCCTTTTCGAGGAGAAAGTCGGGGTAAACATATTTTAAACAAACAAACAAATACCTGGGCTCTTTAGATTCCTGGGCTGCCCAGAAAACGAAGTGCCACCAAGGCGATAGGAGTAGAGAGGTAAAATTTCTGAAAATTTCCAATTTGGGGGACAGAAAAATAGGAGAAAATGTGTTTGTTCTGAAGGAAAAAATGGACATTTTACAGCTCTACTGCAGAACCTTTTAGCAAATGTCTATATATATATATTTTTCTGGGGGGGAACTCATGTTTCTTTCCCCTGTTTTTTTTCCCCCTCCCCTGGAAAAAAAATGACAATTTCTGGAATTTTTACATCTATAGCTATAAAAAAACCAGCCAGCATTTCTGCTTGGAATTTTTTTTCCTTATTCATTCATTTATTTTCATCCCACCTTTCTTCTTAAAAGCAACCCGAGGGGGGGTCTTCCTCACCCCCACCGGGTGCCCCGAGGAAGGTTTCTGGAGGGCAGGAGACAAACGTGGGTGGGAAATAGCCTGGTTTTATCTCAACCAAAGTAGGCCATGATTTTAGAGGAGGCGCCAGTTTAAAAGAAAGAGAGAGAAAGAGAAAAGCAGTGGAATGAAGTGTACGGGGGTGGTGGTGGTGGGGAGAGCCTGAATGCTAGTCTTCTGGGAATAGTGGGGAGGGGCGGTGGAATGAAGCCGCTTGCTGCATGCTGCTGTTTGCTTAACTGGGTCTCTTTGGGCTGCCTGCACTCCCACGTGTGGGCACGAGGGGTCGCCCCACGCCTTTGCCACTGAGCGTGTTTACACTAGCATCACCGTGCGATGTGTTTTCCCTGTGTTTTCACTCGTCCCTCTGCTCTGCGCCGTCTTGACCCATTTCAAGGCCGAGATCCGGAGGAAAGCAGGGAACCAGCCAAAGAGATGGATCAATGGGTCCTCTCTCTTTTTTCCCCCTCTTCCTCCTAACAATCTTGAAGGTGACTTGACCGAGTCCATCCACGCAGTAGCGGCTCTGGATGTGAGCCCGGGTCTCCGAGGACAGCTCAATGGGCAAAGGACTCCAGGACGGCCGTGGCCAAACGTATCACTGGCCTGCCCCCCCCTCCAGTGTTTGTGCCTTTTAAAAGGCAAGCCACGTCTTCCTGCCGGTACTCACAGCAGCCCAATGGACCCTCCAGCTTCAGGGGCAGTCTACCAGAGGATGAGAGCAAGCCACAGGGAAAGCCGGTTGCCTTCATGGCCTGCCTTTCGGCTTCCTGGGGGGGGCCTCTGACCGGGCGCCACCCCAGCTTGGCCTCCGGTCCAAGCGGACCCTCGCTGCATGCACAGAACACCCCCGACCCCCCCAAGATTTCGCCCAAGTGGGCACCTCTCTGCTGGCACACGCTGGCGTTCCGCTTAAAAGTTCCGCAGGACTCTTCGGGAAGGGGCTCAGGCGCCAACTGATCGGACCTGACAGGCGCTTCTCCCCAGCCTGGGAGCCTTTTTCTATTCTTGCCTCGCTCCTCCTGGCCTCTTTGCGTCACCGAGCATCCACGCTGTCAGATAAATAAAACTCCTCTCTCCTGAGCAGCGGAGGGGTGGGCGCATGTGACATTCCAGGGCTACCAACTGGCGGGGACCGACATCTCCTTCTTCTGCCTCCAGCTGCCCGATAGCAAAGCAGGCGCACAGACACCCCCCCAAAAAAACCCCCCATCCCTAACCACCGCCACCCCACCCGCGATGGGCGAAGAAAGGCTGTCAGCAGCCGAAGGAAGCCAGTCATTGTGATTTTCCCCCAGGGTGCCTGGATGGAGGAAAAACTAAGGATGTCCGGTCCTGAAATGTGTGCTTCCACCTCCAGGACCCCTCCCAGGGGTGGGTGGCCAGCCAGCGTTTCCCCCCCCCTCTGGGAAGGCCTGCGTGGCTCCACGCCAGCCCTGCCTGCCTCAAGATGCGGGGGGGGGGATCTCCGGAGGCGACGTGGCCTGTTCTCCGCATAGCAGCGGGCCACGTCCGAGTTGCACCCATCATCTGATTTATTTATCTGTTACATTTATATCCTGCCTTTCT